ATAGCAGTGGCCAAAAATGGATCATTTTCATTGTCTCTTTTAGAAGTACTGGGACAGTATCAGCTGGAGGAGAGGTTTAGGATGGACCCTGTTTTGCCAGCATCATTGATCCAGGTCAGTGTCACAAGAGACATTCCTGGGCAAAGAGCTATCTCTCTGGACATAGGGCCCAGCAGCACCCAGAGAAATAGGATACTGAACAGAGATTGAACATCGTGATTTATACCTACACCCCCTCTTTCCTTAAGGGCTGACATAGCGCTCTGTAGTCATTGTCAGGTGAGTGCATGACCTGTCCTTCAACTCAAACAGAATCATAGGCACTACACAGATGTAGTGGGGGTTGCTTTTCCTCCATTGGGACCTGGAAGACTGCAAACCAAGCCCCTTTGGTATTCACTAAAGGTACAGAAAATGACTTATACAGGCGGGGTTGCTGGTGTATGTTCTGCCTGAAGCTTTTTGAATATGTATTTTTTCAGATTTAATTTTGCTTCTTAGTAATTTCCAAAAAAATGGAGGACACTTTAAAAAGTTTCAGCAGTGGGCTAAGAATGAAAGAGTGCATGTGTGTCTGCTGAGGAAACCTGGACATGATGGTTCTTTATTGGCAAAAGGAAAGGAAGGAGACTAGAAATGAAATCTTTTCTCAAAAATACTTCATTAAAATGTAATTAAAAATGATTCATAGCAAACACAGCAAATAACAGGTGATTTGGATGTACTTCATGGCACTGCTTTTCCATTTTCCAGGGATCTGAGTAAATATCACTAACCCATTTTGCACCATGGGACACTGAAAAAATATGCAAAATCATGAACAAGTTCTGTGAAAGGACTAGGAATATAAAATAAGCCACTATTTTCTTGAACATGTGCTTTCTCCAGCTGCCTCTGAATCCCAGGTATGCAGGTCTCATTTATAACTGGTGATTATCACTTATTTTCTTGGTTATTGTAAGACCACTGGAAAACCCTTCACAATGTTTAAATGCTTGGGGGTGAAAATAATGCAGGGGCAATAACACTCATGGCTGCTAAACTACTGAGTTTACTGATGCCTAAAAATAAAATATAAAATAAATAAAAATAAAAAGCTTTTCAGCATTGCTTGAAGGAAGGGGTACTAAGCATGAGAAATGAATGTAGGAGGGAGGGAAGGAAGGTGAGGGGGTGGAAGAATGAGCCTGATTTACTGAATAATGAGAGGAATGAAAATGAATGGGAAAAGAGAGAGAAAAGCTGGTTTAAATATTTAATCTCTCTTGCATTTGCTTTTGAAGAGAAGACAAAAGCCCTGGAACATCTTTTGTCTTGAACTAATTCTGACCAAAGCTGAATGGCACGTGGTTGTCATTCCTGTCATTTTCCTTAAGGCAGAGAGAAACAGATTGGTCCTGCTGCATCAGCCCGTCACATCAGTCTCCATCTCCAGCCATGGCCAGTACCTGGGGCTGCAGAAGGTGTAAAAACTAATGATGATAATGTCTCTGCCCCATAAGGTCAGGTTGTCATAGATCCTGGTGCTGTGGTGATCAATGTGTGTGTGCACCACCCTGGAGAGTTGGCCCTATGGCCCGAGTGAAGAGGCTGTCAGTTTGTCTGGGGAGGCTGCACCTCTCTGCAGAGAAGAGGAAGCTCCTCTGAAGGGTCGGTTCTAAGGACGAGGCTCCCTGGTCCCACCAGGGAGCAAATCACTTCATTTTTGGTCTTCACCTGCATTTGAAGCCAGGCAGTTAACATTAGGCAAGTCAATAGTATTTTTCCCTTCTCCCTCTCTGCTCATTTGTAAATCTGTCTACACAGCCTCTCTCTGCAACATTTCTTGCTATTCCTTTGACTTGCCCTCTCGGGTCTCTGTCCATCCATGGTCTAAACAAAGCCAAAATGAGCACAGCTGTCTTGCCCATCTGCAACAGCTGCACCTCCAGCATCTTCTGCAGCTAAGGCAGCCCTGTGGATGAGTCAGTAGGACCAATAGGCCTAGGATTTTGTCAATTCTTGAACTATAAAGACACCAGAAAAAACATAGCAAGTATAAAACAAACAAACAAACAAACCTACAGCAAACTACAGCAACAGACCTCAAGCAGTCTCATGGCTGACGATTAACTTTGGAAAGCTTAGTTCAGCGGTAATTTATTATTTTATCAGCCATTTGCTGAGAGATCAAATAAAACCAAGTTGCCTAGTCAAGCACATTCCTATTTTGATAAAACTTGAGGAACCTGATCGGCTAATTTGAATGCTGGAGAAGATAGATAGCTCAGTGTGAATGCAGGCTGGTGAAGCCAGCTAGGCAAATCTTCGGAACTTGGTTTACAAAAAGATTCGAGTAGGCTAAGATCCCAGCCTGATGAGATGGTTCCTATGATGACTACAGTTCCTTCTGGCAGGAAATCAGTGCACTCTCTATGTGAACTATACAGATGAAAATGGAGTTTATTCTCTGTAGCACTTCAGGACTTGACCTCTTAGCTAATTCTGCGAGCAGCAATCCCATGTCAATGATACTGGCTGTGTTTCAGGCACCTTTCTGTTTGGATCTAAACTATATATACAGTTGACCAGCCACCAAAAGACAGCAGCTCTTGGTCCATACTGATCCAGGTTTGATCTGAACCAATGACTTAGCAGTAAAAACATTATATCTTATTTCAAAAAATTGTCTGAGACATAAAATGGCTCCTCTACTTTGTGTCAAAGAGACAAGATTCAGGAAATGATGAAAGAATCTTAATATTGTGTTCTTAAAAGAGCTGAGCTCAGGTCATGGCTCATAACAAGTTCCCTGTGGTAACCCTTGGAAGAAGCCATTACTATTTCAATGGTGCTGTGTGCCAACGTATGTTCATCCTTCTCAAATTTAAAGTTGTCTCTGCTGCTGAAGAGTCAGGAAATGTCACTTCCCAAATGCGACCCCTGTTACTTCAGTTAGCTTATGGTCCCCAGGTTCCCCTCCTGCTCAGGCACAACCTCAGCAGAAGCTGCTGCCTCTCACAGACAGCTCTCTTCTGATGTAGCAGGACCCAGATCATAGCCTGTTTTGAGGCATTCAGATTCTGCCAGCACAGAGATGTCCACATGTGCATACAGACAGATGTGGCACCCCTGAGAGCAGCTGCTGATCACTGCTGTGCAGCAGCAGCAAAGGGGAGGCAGGCACTGTAGTAGGCACGTGAAAGCCAGAAGCACTCAACATGGGCAGTGGTGCTCATGCAGAACGGCTGGACGTGAACTAGGAAAGGAAGGGTTATTCTGAGAATGACGACAGAAACGTCACTGTGCTTTGAGCCTGAGCTGCGGTCTGCAGAGGTGATCTCACTGCATGGAGGAGAAAAAAAAGCAAAGAATGTAAAGTGCTCTTTGTAAAACAGCATGAATTCTAGGCAGGAGGGTTGTCTCAAGACACTTCTTGAAGTAGCAACAAGAACCTTTTTGTTCAAGGAAGACTAAATTGGCCTAGAGAAAAAATATTTTGAGAGACCTGAAACTATATGTGAAGTTGGGAGATGATTCTCCTTTGTTTACTTATTTATTAATTTCCAAAGTATCTTCCTCTTTTTCTTCCTTTTTGTTTTTTATTATTAGAATTTGCAAGTGGGAAATGTTCAAATAGTTAATTTTGACAATCAGATTGAAATTTGATATCTTCTTTCAAAACAGCCTTGTAAATCTAAACTATAACTTCAGTTCATACAGAAAAAAAAATTGAGTCAATAATACCCAAATACATTTTGAGTTGAATCAAACACCCTGAATAAATCCTATTTTTCTGTTTTATTTTGAGCTCAGTCCTCACTACTTCCATTTCATCTGACCTTTATTTTTCAGCTTATTTTTTCGCCAAACCCAAACATTATTACTGACTCTAATTTAGTTTTCTATTTATTTAAATATCATTAAAATAATAGGAATTACAGAGTTTCATTATTTCTTAATCAAAAACAAACAGCATTCCTAACATAATGTCATGGAGGCTGAGGGAACAGGAGAAAAAATCCCATACGGCAAAAGAATTACAGGAATTATGGACAGAAAGCCCTTACATGGGAAGTGAGTCAGTCCACTTCTATCTAACAGAAAATATTACCACAGAAATAAAGAGCTTTTAGGAACAGCTTATTAATTATGAAGCTGTAAAGCTTGCAAAGAAAATGAAGTCTCTGCCTGTTACACACATATAGTATCTCATTCCCCACACGCACATATGTACACATCTCTTGTGGAAAGACAGAGAATTTGCAGTCTGAAACACATATCAACTTTCTGCTTAAAAGAAAAAAGAAAAAAAAATCAATAGGCACAAAATCCCACCCCCTCAACACCCCTCCTTCCCTCGTCTGACACTGACTTCAAGGGAGGAGTTGAGCCAATTATCTGTGAGTCCTACAGAAGGAAAATCTGCAATTTGCCAGTAGTGAGAGCAAGAAAGAGAGAAGCAGGGAGGGAAGAAGAAAGATTTAATTGGCCAAAGTAAAGAAAACCCCCTTTTTACCTGGAAAGAGAATAATTTTAAACAAATCTCAGAGCCGAAAAAAGAGAGAAGCTAGTGGCAGGGGGGTGCTAGACAAGACTCAGGGAAGCATAGGCTTAGCCTCACTGCCACAAACAATTTCCATGCCCGCCGTGATTTTTCCCCGTAGGGCATAGCGTGGAAGCAGGGTGGGCCAGACGGATGCACCCACGACCCGGTACAACTAGGTGTCTCTCTAGAGAATCTTTCCACGTAGCGGATCCTGCGGAGCACAACTTGCAAGAAAAGCCAGTGGGACTGGGAGACGCTTGAACTGAGGCTGTCAGGAGAAGAGCTCATCAGAGGGAAAAGCTATTGCCAAGTCCTCTATTTAGCCCATGTCAGTCACCTGATGCAGTAGTTACTATCCATGGGGGACAGTCCCCTCCACATCTGTAGTCCTTCCCAATCCTGCTAACGTCCCAGAAAATACTGGTGAAGAACTAAGCCCAGAGCAGCAACGTGGGACACAGAGAACAACAGTCTTTCACAGCAACGCCGCTGCTGATTAAAATCATCAGCTTCATCAGACTACACCAAGACACAGGATTTCTCCTCCTAAGAAAGACAGGTAAGAAAGTAGCTTTGGAGTTTGGGATAACAGCCAGAAAAAAAAAAAAAAAAAAAAGCACCCAGAAGTGATATCTGTGTGCATTGTGCATGAAAATTCAGGAATTCAGGGAATGCTAGCAGTGACTAACAAGTGGCAGGTCTGCTCTGCACAGTCCAGTTTACTTCTGCCTAATGATGGCAGGATTGAAAATTAAGGTATAAAACTTTATGCAGATTGAAGCATCTATTCCTTAAATATCTCTCTCCAGGTGCTCAGGATCAAATTTGCCAGCACCTCACTGCAATTTAGACAAGCACTCTTCAGCACACGCTAAAGCAGGTGTATTGTCATTCAGTCTGAAGCGGGCATGCAAACTAAGCCGCAGGTAGAAGGAGACACGGGGAATCAAAAAAAGGCAGGGGTGGAGGGGGTTAATCCTGATTTTGGACAGCTGTTTCAGAGCTCTCTGTGTGCCTGAGCCGCCGTCTTTATTAAGCAGAGATAATGCTCATTGCCTGCATTTTTATATCATTTTGAAATCTCTGTGATATGAAATACTAATGTAAAGATTCTACCATCGAGCCAGTGCATAAACCAAAAGGTACCACTGGGAATTAATCTATACTTAAGCATTTAATAAGCTGGGAGGCAAAGATGGAGATTAAAGCCAGCTGGAGATTGTTTGTCTCCTCATTCTCTTCAGATTGATTTTGCTTTATTTAGTACATGAACATGTGGTGTCTTTCTATTTGCTTTCTTCTGTCTTTAATCTTTTTCTATATACAAGTCCCCTGTGCTCCCCCCACCACCCGGGCATGGGAGTTGAAATTTGTCTCCGTTTCAGAGGAAAGAATAAGAAAAATTGTATTCAACTAGAGAGAAACCAGAGTGGGTGTATAAGAAGAGAGAGCCTGAAACATAAAAATAAGCTCCTAGTTCAACAGCACAGTTTTGAGTCAGATTCACAGCAGAGGTGATGAAACGAGTAGCAACTCTAGGAACTCTAGGATGCTTAAAAGCATCTTTTTACTCCATGTGCAATTAATGCAGTTCGGACAGTATGGGAATCTGCATGCCTTGAGAGACAGATTGCAGACACAAAGTGACTATTTAATACCTTAAACTTTGGATGCCCTCACACCCTCCTGCCTTCTTGGTGAATGCACATCTTTAGGGCAAAGGGGCCCAAAATGAACACATCTCTGTGCATAAGTGTTTGGGGAGTTGTTTTGTTTTGACGGGGATGGGAGGCAATGTGATTTAGTGACCAGAAGTGCAAGGCTGAAGAAAGGTGGAAAAGACAAAGACTTTGTACGGCAGGGGTCCTGGAGTCTGTTCATGGTCTGGAGTCTGTTCATAGTCCCCATTTGTAGGATCTTTGGTGGTCCCCAGTTTCCACGTGCCTTACTTTCCCCATCTGTGGATCAGTGCTGGCATCAAGTCTTTCTCTTAGGTGTTCACTGTAAGATGACTTTAACTGAAATTCAAGCCAGTGCACCCTAATAGAAGCTAGAAGACAGAAGTGCCTCTCCAAGAGACTGTATCACAGGTGCAAAATCTTCCAAGCAGGTGCAATGACGCAGATCTCTTTTGTGATGGATATTTCTGTAATTGCTAGCAGCTCAGTGCTTACTCGTCAGTCAGTAGTATAATTTGTAGGATCCTGGCTCATAAAAGTGCTGAACAGGATCCGGACCCCCTCTGTGTGAGTTCTGTACAAGACAGGTAAGATGCTTGCTTAAAAAAGCATATCCATGTGCCCTCCCTGATGCTCCTGCCGCAAGCTGTACAAAACTAATTCCCAGCAGGTGTGAATCAACAGTCTGCTTGTACTCATGCAGCTATACCACTTCGGCCCACTTTTTGAAGAGCTGAGACATTTTTAAATACTGATCCAGGGCTGTAGAGAAGTTTGAGGGTTTTCTCACAAAATATGTTTCTCTGCTTTTCTCTGTCTGCTAAATAATGCTCAAGAGAATTAAGAAAATATCCCAGAGCAGCTCTGTCGCTTGACTGACCCATGGAACAAGGCAGTACCACACTGGCTCTGCAGGGAAGGACAAAGTCTGTGTACATGTCATTGCTGCCTCAGAGATGAAATCTGGCCCTTCTGCACAGATGATGTGTCCTATTCTATACAAAACATGGAGTTCAGTACTAGATGTACTGCTTGCTCTCTATTCTACTACAGCATTTTCACCCTTATTCCAGGCCCATACTTGTGCGTGTGTGTCCAAAGTTACAATCTGACACTACTCTTGGCCTCCAATATTGTACTGTACTTTCCTCTGAAATTAACTTAGAGTGTAAGTTTCTTTAAGGACAACATTGCATTTTCTTCTGTGCTTTATATGGGGCTGGACGTGCTGCCACAGAGCAGCAAATGATAGCAATAATAATAAATAATAATGTTTTGCTGTTGCCTTGGGCTATAGTACAGCACTTGCAGGGATGCTGGCTCAGAATTCCAGAGACTTCTTTATTTAGCACTGACTGTATCTTCATTTTTGCTTTGATACTTAACCCATGTTAAGCAAAGTAAAAGATTTTAAGCTTTTGACTCACATTAGCGTCAGCTACATAAAAGCTTGGGAGATCAAATTTGCTCAAGAGAAAAATAGGAATCCAAGTCTGGACTGAGAAATGATCCTCCAGTGTACATAGGGTACTCAAATTGTAATATTAAATAAACAACACCTAAGTCAAATAAGCAGCCTAGTGGGAACTTGATTTTTCTTTAACAAGAACCTAGCAACTAAAATAAACTCTCTCCCAAATGTGCTTGCTTTGCTCTGACAATTAGTTTTCCATACACCAGGGCTATATTTTTCATTTCAGAGCACAATGCACTTGCACATGAGAAATGGCTGCACAATCCTCATTTCATGTTTTCTTTGCCTATCAAAGTCTCTTGTACCTGAACGCTACATCAAAATGCGATCTCCAAGGTCTTGAGGCTCATTTTACTTGTCAGGGTCAGAAATATTGTCCAACGGCTACATAAGATGGCTGTCCTTTTCTTCTACCTGGGCTTAGAACCCTCAAGGACTGCAATACCCATAACAGCTGTATATGTATAAACACAAAAGCTTTCATGAAATGGGCATTTCTGCAAAACTGCTCACTGCCAGCTATGCTGTTGCGAGGGAACTGTATTTGAAATACTGAGTTTGTTCATAGGGAGTTCGCAATCAAACAAAAGGATTAAAATCTGATTTGTAAACAATTATTCAAGCCACAGATCTTTGAATTTATCATTCGCCAATGCTATTTTGTGCCTCCATTTCCCTGCACTGCAATATAGGTTGTGTTGGACCAGTTATTTAAAGTTATCGAGATGTCTTGCTACCACTGATGTCAAGTATGATTCTTGTTCTCTGATTTCTGACTGGTGCCAGAAAATTAGTATCACAAACAGTTCCTATTTAAGCACCCAAAGCAATCCAAGCATTAGTGGTAGTTGCAGTAGATGAAACATAATTGGGAAATCTGACCTCTGCTTTTATGCATCTAAAGAAGAACCAAGCTCTGCTATAAAATCTGTTAATGTCTAAGTGACACAGATGGTGAGAGGGAACCTGGTGGCCAAGTTCAGGTACAGCTGATAAAATTAGCCCTTAATGTTTAACAAAAATAGCAAAACACCATTCAAAAACTTTTTTTTTTTCAGTGTAAATGTCTTCATTTTGATATGACTTAAAAAAAAAACAGCAAACAAACTACTCCCTGGAAACAAGACTGAAAAAAATGAAGTAATTTCCAGTGAAAAGATTTTTTTATGGATCATTGATCTGCTAAGCAGGACCAGGCATTCTGCTTTGCACAACAGAGTGATGCAGGATGCTGTTTGACAAGCTTGTACCACAGAGCTGCTCTGCTCTGTCCTCCATCTAGTTTCTGCACTTTCCTCCAACTCTGCCTTTCCTCTTTCAGGGGCAAGAAATGATGAAGACCGTGTCCAGTGGAAACTGCACCCTGAATGTGCCAGCCAAGAACTCATACCGCATGGTAGTCCTGGGAGCCTCCCGAGTAGGCAAGAGCTCCATCGTCTCACGCTTTCTAAACGGCCGCTTTGACGACCAGTACACTCCCACCATAGAGGATTTTCACCGCAAGGTCTACAACATTCGGGGAGACATGTATCAGCTGGACATCCTGGACACATCTGGGAATCACCCTTTTCCTGCTATGAGGAGGCTTTCTATCCTGACAGGTGAGAAAGAAGAACAAGGTTTGCATATGGGGAATGGTGAGCGAAAGAAAGTAACAATAGACTTTAGCTTGAAAAATAGCCTTGAGATGACAGGGTTTTGACAATTAAGATGCATTTGAGAGGCAGCTAAAGGGTCCGCTAGATGTTGTTGCAACATACAACTCTCTTGAGAGCTATTTCTTGGCTGGGATGCTCCAGATGCTCTAAGCAGTGCATTACCCACAAAGGAGTTCACTGAATGAAATTCTGAAATCAGGATTTCCCAACTATTTTATTTCCCTTCTCTGCTACCATCTCTTCCTGCTCCAGTATTTTTTATTGCAGTCACAAATGAGTTGTTGAATAAAACCTCATAGGCATAAAGAGCAGCAAGGGGCAAAAGCAGCCTGTCATTACAAGATGCAAGCAGTGAAAAGCAAACATAAAATGCACAGAAAATGAATTTAAACCAGGAAAAGCTTTTTTCTTAAAAGTTCCAGCCTGATTCCTTTGATTTGAAATTCTAGTACAGAAAAAAATACTCTAAGGTTTGTCTATTTTTAGCCTTTCCCTTTTGCCTATAGTTAATCAAATGAATTAGGAAAAGGGAAAATGGTGGACTTTAAACTTTCTCATTGTCAAGCAGATCCTGTTGTGAGCTATTGTATTCTTTAACTCTGAAAGTGACAGTGGGGATGTATTCCAACCAAGCCAAAAAAAAAAGTCCTTCAGGACTTGCTGTCTACACTTCTGTCTAGTCTGTGAAACATGAGGTTCACATCACACCAGGCTATAGACTGGACTGTGTGGTATGAGGTCCTAATACTGATTTCTGGGATGGGGGTGCAAGCTTTTGTCCCTGAAAGTGCTCTTGGCACGTTCCACGTGCCATTCACATGCCATTCAACAGGCAATAATTTGTGTTATTTTATATTTTCAAAATGAACTGTAAGTCAGGAAATGTCAAAAGGAAATACCAGGGGATCTGTGTCATTTATACATTTCTTTTTTCTCCACGGTCTGTTTTTCCTGAGCAAATGAAATGGCAGCAGATCATACCAAACACTGGGAAACCTCTCAAGCCCGACTCAGGCATTCAGGCCTGACTACATGTAAATCTTCTGTTCAGGTGTTGCTTGTCTTGTTTAATCAAAAAGTCAAGGCTGAGCGGCTACTAGTTCTCCACTCTTCCTGGTATCAGAATAGACTGTGTTTTACAGAGAGATACAGATGAAAAGAAGGGAAAAAAAAAGAAAAGAAAAGCAATGTCATAGAGATGAGATAAAAACTTTCTAAAGACAATAGAAATAGACAACAGGATCAAGGCCAGTGCAACCTAGAAACACATACTCAGATATGCTAGATTTAATATCACCACCATAAGCCATTTCCACAGCATTACAGAAAGGAGGAGGGAGCTGAATTAGAGAAAGAGTGAAGAGATTCTAAAAACAAAAAGGACCAAAGAGGACAAAAAAAAAATGTGGAGGAGGCAATGGCAGCAAACTTACTGCTTTTTTAAAATTAGCTCCTCTGACAAAGGCACTGATGAACAAACCCTTATGTTTTCCTTTTTCATTTGCAGGGGATGTTTTCATTCTTGTGTTCAGCTTAGACAACAGAGAATCCTTTGACGAGGTCAAGAGACTCCAGAAACAGATCCTTGAGGTCAAATCCTGCCTGAAGAACAAGACTAAGGAATCAGCTGACCTTCCCATGGTGATCTGTGGCAACAAGAATGACCACAGTGAAATGTTCCGCAAGGTGCGTTCAGATGAAGGTGAGAATCTTGTCTCCAGCGATGAAAATTGTGCTTACTTCGAAGTTTCAGCAAAGAAGAACACCAACGTGGATGAGATGTTCTACGTTCTCTTCAGCATGGCCAAGCTACCTCATGAGATGAGCCCTGCCCTACACAGAAAAATCTCTATCCAGTATGGTGAAACCTTCCAACAGAAATCCTTCCGAATGCGTCGAGTCAAGGAGATGGACGCCTATGGCATGATCTCTCCTTTTGCTCGACGGCCAAGTGTTAACAGTGATCTGAAGTATATCAAATCAAAAGTTCTCAGGGAAGGTCAATCAAGGGAGAGGGAGAAATGCACCATCCAGTGAAGGCGACTAGCCATTCTCTCTGAAGTTGTCATCCACATGTAGTGCCTTAAAGAAAAGTGGTCTGCAGAAGCCCAGAATGGGCTCAGTGGGTTCATCCAATCATGAAAGCTCAGCACGGCAAAGGATAGCTCTTCCTGAGGGTTCTACTGAATCATGAACATAATATTATTCTTGTAAATGACTGGGAAAAATCACATGCCTAGTATGTGACTGAATTTCTTTGTCTTTGTAATGTAATTCCTCTTAATTGCTCTTTTTGTCTAAAGAACACAGACTTGAGAAGAAAAGAAATTTCAACCTCATCCCTACAAAGAAAGTAGGTCAATAATGCACAGAAGGCATTAACAGCTACCCCAGTGTCAGCTCGTACTGAGAGAGAGAAGGATGTGTGTATGTGTGTGTATGTATTTGCATGCATGCGTGGAGCACTCTAAAAAAAATGGCACTTACATTTCTAAGGACAACAATCTTACTGAGGTTTCCTAGATTGGGAGTGGACTCTGTGAACAAAGATATGATTCTAAACCACTTCTAATGAAACCTGCATTCAGAAGGTCTTCATTTTATGTTTGCTGGGACAGCTGTAATTTGACATTGATAAGAATGTTGCTTTGTATTATTGTTTTTGTTTGTTTGTTTGTTTTTTATTGTCTGGGGGTGGGTTCATTGCAAAACTAGACGGCAAAGGTGTTTGAGATGAAAAGTGTCTAATTTTTCGAAATAAAAGGTGTGTGTCGGCTGTAAATCTAAATAATATGTAAATTGATTGAATGTGAAATTACACTGTAAAAAAACAATACATTTGACTGCTTTGCAAGCCTGGTGCCGTATTGTTTCTCACAGCAGCTGAACACTGCTCACAGCTCTGAACACTTGTACAAATGCCACCCTATGCCTTGCTGGCCACTGGAGGATAGTTCCTTCTGTCTGTCCCTGAAAGCTGGGGCTGACCGGGTGCACGTGTTGACTTAGACCATTTCAGGGACACAGCTGAGTTTTCCTTCAAAATTCACAACTGAACGGATGTGGCCTCTTGGTCCGGGACCAGTTCCATTATATCTTCTACTAAAATCTAGTCATTTTGTTCACAGTTTTGCTTGACGTCTGATAGAGGTTGCCTTGGTGGAAACCCTTTGCACTGTAGAAGTCCTTCAGAACAGAAGCTTTGTGCTGGCTATCTAAATAGGGCTGAACTGGCTAATTAAATCTGAGACTGCAATTTACTTATTTCCTTTCTCAAGCCAGGATTTCTTGCGTTAAACTGTCTCCCTGTACCTGCCTTTGGCTTTATTACTCAGTATGCTAGGCTTCTATATGTGCCCTCAAAGCCAAATATATTCTCTCAGTTTGCCACTCTCACAGACTGGAATGAGAGGTGTGCATGCATAACTATGGGTAGAGCATGGCCCTTGAACTGTACATAACAGTAGAGTACATATGTTATATATATACCTCACAAGAGCATTTGGATATTCTTGTCCCTCCCTCACCATCAAATTCCACTCTTGGCTGTATCTGTCTTGCTGCATCCTGGTCAGAGATGTGACCTAGTTCATTCTGTAATCTGACAGGAAACCAAAAATGATAAATGCCTGTGAAAATTAGCCTCTGGGAGTTAAAATCTCATCATGACTTGTCAGCTCCACTCTTCATTGGTACTGTCTACCAGCTCGTAAAATACACTGTTCCTTTATGCTTAGTGCCACAGCAACACCTTTCTGACCATTTCTTCCCCCCTATCTATTAGTATGTACACTGTTTATGATTAAATTTGTTGTATTTATTAGCTGTGTCCTGGTCTGTTTTTCCTGTCTCCAAGAATAGCAAAGAGAGTCCTAAATTTTGTTGCTGTTTTTGTAAGGGAGCAAGTACAGATGAGCAAGTGAGTTCTCAGTTGAGAGCCCTGACAGGAAGTTCTGGGGTATTTTATGTCTTCCAGACTCCAGAGTCTTGACATTGACCTTGCTGGGAGAGAAATATGTCTATATCTATATATTTATCTATCTATATCAACATATATACACAGATATCCTCCCAAGCAGAAATAGAAAGCTACTCTTCCCACGCTGCATCTGGCATAAGGGGACAACAACTCCTTCCTTCCTGCACAGGGCCATTGTGCTCATCCCTGCTGGGATTTAATGCAGTCTCTGTAGAGACATCACCATTGCTGTCATCAGTCTTTCAATCTCCTCATCTGCACCTTGCAGCTGTGTGAGTCTTGGTCACATAAAGCATTTGAAAGGCATTTACCTGGCCTTTGCTTTGCAATGAGTTGGGAACTGGAAGACAGACTACGCTGTTCAAACCAAGATGGAAGAGAAGTGCTGACAGAAGATACAGAGCAGATGACAAGGGACTTTTGCAGGGATAGGCACAGTGCAAGATTAATGTGGCTAGTAATCACAGAACAGTTGAAGTTGAAAGAGACCTCTGGAGACTATCTGATCCAACTACCTTGCTCAAGCAGGCTCACCTACAGTAGGTTGTCCATAACCATGCTGTGGGTTGGCATGGATTTTGAATATCTCCAAGACTATATGTTCCACAGCCTCTCTGGGCAAACTGTTCCAGTACTCAACAAGCATCACACAGAAAATATTCAGACAGAGTTTCTGGTGTTTCAATATGTGCTCAGTGCCTCTCATCTTGTCACTGGACAGTCAGGTGGGTAATTTTCTGGACTTCGTTTATTATTATCTTTTATTTTGTTGGTGTCTATTAAAAACTTGACTCTCTTTTCCAGGAAGTCTGCCTCTTGTTGCTCACTTTCCTGGCTTTGGTAAGGTGTAGAACTGTCAGGGAACAGTGAGCCAACAGGAAAGGAAAAATAAAACCTGAGCACTTAACAATATGGGTGGTGCAGCTGCTTAACACTGCACTTTTTGCCTTTCCTCTGTGTCCAAAAGAGAAAGAATGAATCTTCCTGAGGTAGTTCATAAGAGGAAGATGTGAGCTTTGGTGCTGGTGAAGAATCTTTGGAGGAGGCAGGAACACCACATTTATTAGGAAAGCAGAGGTGAAAGAGAGCAGCGCCAGGGATCAATTCAGTATGCACACTCAGGCGAAGGTAGTGCGTCTTGACAGAGATGCCCTGCAGACTACTGTTCATTTATCTACCAAGTAGTTCCCTCTCCAGCCATCTCACCAAGTAGGAGAAATAAACATTTAAAACAGGTGCAAAAATCTACATCCAATTAGATCCTGTAGATCAAATTGCATTCCAAAAAACAAGCATAAGCTGCTGCTGTAACATTCTGCTTCCCTACCGTCCCCCTGATCACATGTTCTCCTCCCTACTAACTCTCTACCCAATGATATGACTATTTAATACACCTGTGTTTGAGCACAGAGATTAATCTGCCACAGAGACCCAAGACAGAGGCTGTGAAAAGGAAGAGAGAAAGGCATGAGCACTGGCCACCACCTTGGTTAACAGGCTACTGGAAGTTAAAGGAGAATTCTTTGCACTACTGCTAATGTGCTGCATTACTGAGCCTAGAGCTGGATAAACCTAGGTTTCATAAGTGCTTACATAATCACTAAAAATCTGCCCTGAATTTACAACACTGACCTTATAATTATTTTCCCCATGTCCTTTGACACCTCCATGTCCTCTCATTCTTGCCTTTTCAGTGTGTCACACTGAACACAAAACTGACCAAGCACTTAAACACTGAGGGGAGGGAGAGGGATGCAAGGGTTGGGTTGTTGAAAAGGCAAGAGTAGACGCTAGTGGAGATGTACCTGATCTGCAGGAAGGGCTGTGAGCCCCGTCGTCAATGTCCTTCCCAGGGCCTGAATTGGTCTACCACATGTTCAGAGGGAGAAGCACCTGAGAAAGTGGTTGTGAGTGAGATGAAGCAACATTACTGTCACCCACAGAAAAAATTGAAAAGAAGCAAGTAATCTTATTAAAGTAATACTGGTCTTTTGTCTGAATTTTGTTACTGATGATAATTGCTTCTTAAGTTAGATTATCATGCTCCTGAGGACAAACTCTCTCACATTTATTGTTTTGCTTTTATTATATCATTACAGTTATTTTATTAATATTCATATATTATTGGGGTCTAGAAATACTTACAGGCCCTGTAATAGACAATATGTGTCTTTGTTGCTTATTCACAGCTAGTAGCCATTAAAGACTATTAGCCAGTAATAGGCTGGATCTGGAAAACAGAGAGGGCTATCAGTATGTTTGTACAGGGGGCACAAGGTAAAGCAGCAGAGGAAAAAGAGAAGTGTTTCTTCCCTGCTAAACACTGAGCATATCTGGCTGTTAGACAGAGTAAATAAAAACTTTACGGGAACCCTGTAGTATGTGCCGAGTTTGAGAGACCCTGTAAAGAGCAAAAGGCAGACACACAGCCAGGCTGACGAAGCAATGGGAATAGAGGTGACTCTTCCCCCTCACGGGATTTCAGGGGGACTGAACAGAACTTGTAACCCAAGAAGCCAATAAAATGCACTGGATTGAGAAGAAGTCTCTAGCAAGAGATTCGCCCTGCAAAGACCTCAAGCAGTTGGACAGGTCTGTTTGTAAACCATGTGCTTTTAGTTGATATTACCCAGTATAATTAAGTAGCTTTATTCCAACCTTGTTCTACATTACAGTTTATAAAACCCAACACTGGTGATCCAAAGCCTTTATGTCATTTTTGGTGTATTCACTTCCAGGACAAGAAAGATATGGCTACCTGACTTAGGATCAATCATAGCCCTGGAATAAGACTGCGCTGTGATTTATTTTGAACATTGCTCTACACAGCCCTTAAGAAATTACAACCCAATGTATTCTAGGCACTACTATAAATAATGAGGAAAAGCAAATTAAGCCACAGGATCGGCACAAATCAGGAAGGAAACAGGAGCCAGGGTGAATTAAGGAAGGAAAAATGAGGATGGGAAGGATAGAGTGAAAGCCTGTTCTGACATCCAGAGGACTAGGCTTCTGTTCTGAAGGAACCTCCGAAGGAGTGCAGCCATCAGGTGCGCCTGCCACTGAAGACAAGGTTTCAACTCTCTCATGGGGTAGTCTCTCAAAGATCATCATATCCTTGAGAGCCAAGCATTCAGTAGATTGGATTGTTTGAGAGGCCAGAGATTATCACTATCACAAAAGACCAACAGGAAATGGTGGGACAAATTTAAAATGGCAGTAGAAAAGAGCTTCAAAAATGAGCTCATCAAGGTAGGAGAGTTATGTGCAGTATGGTGGGCAGAGAAGAGGAAAGATATTGAGGTACGATCTT